AAGGACTGCTGCAATTTAGGTGGTTGTCAAAATTGTGGACCCTTTTTGGGTCCTTATTATAATACGGCACCTATTATTTAGGGTACCCCAGAAGGGACCATAATTATGACAACTACCCATTTTGGGAATGTTGGGGTAAAGGGTTTCGCAGAAGGGCAGCTTCGAATTTGAAAATGTTGGGCAAAGAGTTTAGGGTTAGGGTTCGGGGTTTTGTTAGACCCTAAACCCTAAACCCTAAACCCTAAACCTAAACCCCAAACCCCCGAGTTCAGGATTTGCGGAAGAAGGTTTTTGAGTTCAGTTTCGGACTCGAGGGATGCGTGAGTAGTGTACCTCTCCGCTTAGTGGGCCGACCATGGTTAGGGTTTAGGGGTGTAGGGTTTATGATTTCGGGTTTAGGGTTTAGGTTTAGGGGTGTAGGGTTTATGGTATCGGGTTTAGGGTTTAAACTACATACCTCCCGATGGCCCTCGGGAACCTACGCATCATTCTCATAAATCCTCGGTTCAGGGTTTAGGGTCACATAGTGGGTTGTGCTAGACTGACAGGTGGAGTTGAGGCTTATCATGAAGCATAGTGGCAAGGTTTAGGGTTTAGGGTTTAGGGTTTAGGAGACCAATGTCGGACCGACTAGCTTCTCTCTCAGGTAGGAACCTGATTTCGAAATCCAGATAAAATTAAAGGACCCTAATAGGTACCCGGGGTGTCTTAATCAGGTTCCGATATGACCAAGCACTGCCTCGTAGACAGCAAAATTCGTGAAGAATCAGTTTCGGACTTGCTTTCCAAATGGTCCAAGCACTGCTGCGGTGGGGGGGATACTTTCCCAAATCATTTTTTTCGTTTTAAACCCTACTTTCTACCATTGCGGGTACTTAGGACACGTTGGGCTTGCCGGCTTGCCAGGTTGTCAGGAGAGCAGGACGCAAAACGCCAGTGACCCGAGAATGGCAAGCCGACTATACGAGCGCCTACACCCTTAACCCTAAACCCAAGTAATGACGTGGGTGCTAAAGAAAACTTCCTACGCTGAACCCCAAATTAACCCTCAGGTCCCAAGTGTGTGTGTGTGTGGTGTTGATATGTCTCTGGATCTAGAGTTATGTGTAGGCACACACACACACCCTCTATGTACATACTGATGCATGCATGCATGCATGCATGCATGTATGTATGTATGTATGTATGTATGTATGTATGTATGTATGTATGCATGTATACATGCATATACATGTACAGGCACATATACACATGCATACGCATTTACACATAATATATATATATATATACACACACATACAAGCACATATACATCTGTACACGGACAGACACACACACACACATACATCAGCCAGTCCTTGGGGACGAAATGAACCCTAAAAGGGTTTAAGGTTCATACACCATATAGGGATTCATAGTCTTTGGGAATAAGGCCCCTACATTTAAAGGGTCATTTGGTCCTCAAGGGTTACTACCAAGTGGAGGACACGGCGGCGACTCCGTGCCGCGCATTCCGAGCCTGGGCGCATCGTGGCCTCGCCACAGGAGACGTACGAGGCCAAAAGGGCTCCGTACTTCGGTGAACAGTTTAGGTTTTAGGGCCTTAGGGGGTTTGGGGTTCAGGATTTAGGGCTTGAGAGTTTAGGGTTTAGGGTTCAGCTGTGGTTTCCCCCTCCGCAAGGGTTTATAAGTACATGTAAGGGTTATGCAATAGCTGGGTCTTTGCCTTGCTGGAGTATTTGAACTATATGTTCACTGGGGGTTCGCGGGGCTTAGCAGCTGATGTTCTTATAGCGCGCATTTTTGTTACGAGGAAGTATACGACCAACCGTGACACCAGAGGTACCTATGTTGCTTATCCTTGATTTTTCATCATGGTGGGCTTAGGAGAGGAATTTGCGAGTTTCCAAAATATGAATGGACCTATTCATCTAGGCTTACAGCAACGGCAATAACCATGCGGCTCCAAACAACCCAAGAGTAATTCTAGGCTGTTGGAGTCTCTTTGAAGGTGTGGGTGCAGAAGGCACGGAGTCTGCAAGAAGAGCCTTGGTCGAAGACATTCTATGCTGCCTACGTGGGTGGCTGCTTCGTGGGCTCCTCGCCATGTCTCAGACTTCTTACATACCCTAAACCCTAAACCCTAGACCCTAAACCCTAAACCAAGCATAGTGTGAGGGGACTTCGTAGGGCCATGAACCGGTATGCACATCAAAGTTGGGAAGGTTGGGCCCCTTGGCTCTGAGGATTTGTCAAAGTTTGCCATGAAAGGTGTAGGGTTTAGGATTAAGGGTGTAGGGTTAAGGGTTCAGGGTTTAGGGGCACCTGATTGTGCACAACCAGTTGCACAACTTACGAGTGTATGCCCATGAGTATGAGAGCAGGACGTTGGCAAATCTAAACAGATGTAGATCACCGGTGGTGAGTCTCTGATGTACCGCTCGTACTAGTACAGTACTAGTAGTAGTAGAAGCAGTAGCAGCAGTCGCAGCAGTAGCAG